TGGAAGCTGAGAACTGGCGACTTTGTAGTGCAACTTTAGTACGCGGATGAGTCATCTCTCGCGGCTGAGTCATCTCTCGTGGCTGCTCTGGCGCCGCTGCAGCTGAGTCATGTCTCCCGACCACCCGGCTCTCTTGAGAGGTTGACACACACACACAGAGACCCACGCACTGCCTCAACTTACTCGGACACACACACACACAGAGACTCATACACACACAGACATAGATGCACACACACAGAGACCCACACACTGCCTCAACTCGCTCGACTTAACACTTCACACTGAACACTTAACAGATAACTCACACTCTGACTTCCTACGTGATGAAAAATGCTTTCGGGCCACTCGTCGTCTAGTGTTGGAAACAAGAACTCTTTTTTGGTGCATTTTGGATTCTACTTTGCTATCTGTGGTCTATGCTGGCATAAATATTTCCTTGCAGTCTGCAATAGTTAGAACCAAGATTGAAGAGTTTTAAACAACTCTCATGTGAGAGCCAACAAGCGAACAAAACTGAAAACAATCCCACTGGTGTTTGCAATCCATAATTGGAGCAACAACGCAAACTGCAGAGCTAATTTGATCAATGTTTTTGATCGTACTTATCTACATAGTTCAGAGACCTTCCTCAAGCACCAAGTCATACGGATGCTTCCCTCACTCAACAACAATCTCTGATGCTCATATCAAAATCCAGGCACTAATCTACATTATGCAAGTCGACTGATACTGAACGACGCTGATCTGTTCTAATCATGCGTCATGTTGAGACCGGGCTTCTGCTCGTACCGCTTGCGCCACTTGTTGCCAAGCAGCTCGCGCCACCCTCCATCCAAAACCAGCACCTGCCGCACCGGCCGCACGGGCGCTGCCCTTTCGGGCGCCAGCTCAGAAGCCTCGAAAGCAGCAAAGCCGTGTTCAGCGCATGCGATTTCCGGACTTATCAAAAACACAAAGGAAAACCATCGATTCGGAACCATTTCAAGCTCAGAAACACATCGTCTGAAAAATCTGTGTTTTCCGAATCGTCTCCGTGGTTGTGAAATGCAACGCGTTAGCCAGGTGTTGTGATATGCTTTCCCAAACTGGTCCAAGTGCTGGGCTTGGACTGCATTTTCACCTTAGATCAACCATCTAAACATGACACAAGACATCAATATCGATATTAATATATACGTCGTATTGAATACCGATGTGGCATCGCTTCGGATCTCCTGGGGCCTTGGCTTGGAAAAAGAACCACGGTCCCCTCCATGTCCTCATCGATGATCTGCAGAAGCCTCCGATCTTTTTCGATCGTGGTGAACAAAATTTCAAGCGTATGATTGGAGCCTGGCATCGTGTTCTTCCACTCCCCAGCACAGCAGCTCTGCCTGCAAGCAAATCATCTTTTGCCATTACGCTGCACCTACTGGAGACCTAACGCTTGGTCGTGGTGCTGCAAAAACCTCCCGGAATGGTGTCAGTTGGCGTTAAGCACCACAAGAAGAAGCAAACAAAACATTCCAGCAAAGTAACCCATTGAAAAGATATTGAATACAACTCGAGATCTAGAATGCAGCTGGCTGAGCATACCCACATGTGGATTCTCGACAGTCGGTCGAACTAGAAAATTCAGTGATGAAAGACTTGATCGTTCGTCTTTTTCCGAGACACTTTTGGAATGTTTGGAAATGGACTAGTAACAAGGGCATCGCTACTGGTAGCAAGGGCATTACTACTGGTAGCTAGAAGCTACTAGGTTGGAGGCCATTTCTACTAGTAGCTATAGAAGCTACTACGAGTAGTAACCAGCGAATTTGCTTTCCACCGATTTGCTTTCCACTCTCGGACTCTCGCGCCCCGAAGTGTGCCAAAAGCTTCGCAGTGTTTGAAGCTTTCCCTTGGTGAGAGAGACGTAGATCACTACAGAGTTCTTGTCGTATGTGATGCGGCACGATGACCCGTTTTGAACATTTGGATGCATTCCACCGTGAAGAACTTGCAGCCGAGAGAGGTAGTAGATTTGAAGGGTGATTGTCAGTGATAGGTGGCTAATTCCGTTTTGCAACAAACACGCGGAGTCGGGCTCAAACGTTGCCCGATCTCCAGGTGATGCAGGAGGACGACAACTCGCAAACGAAGAATCAACCTTAGAGCACTTGCTTTCAGGAGGCTGACTTCGAAACAGCTGTGCAAGTCTGTGGATGCAACGGGTACTGCAGCAGGTATGTACTAGTACATGACAGAATAGGTATATTCTGAATGAAATTTTCGGTCTCAACGGCCAAAAAATACATGGTAAAGCCGAGCCAACAAGCTCGGCCGTCTAAACTTGGGCAATTGCTTCGGCAAACCTTCGCAACAGCAATGCCGCCTGGATCACATCGCACTGAGAAGGCCATATGTGGAGCATCTGAACACCACACTGTTCCTTTTCAAGCAGTCGACCCTGGCAGAACAAGATGGTGCCCACGAACCCGAATGCAAGCACGATCGAGAAACTACATATGTCCAAGTGACACTCTTGTAGGACACTCTTGTGGGACACTGTTGTCGCTCACCAGCGACATGCCGCGTTTACACCAGCATGTTTAGCGCTCCCCAGTGGCACGGCGCATCGCAAACGTACTTTCCACCAAGGCCGCGCAAATCCGCATGCCCTTGCGACATCACGGACGTAATTCCGCCACACGGTCCGCCACATACTAGAAGCAAACATATCACATCATCCGCCACACTGTAGAAGCAAACATATCACATGATACCTCCAATCATCCCGCTCGCCAGCGACACGCCGCGTTTACATGCATGTTTTGCGCTCCCCAGTGGCACTTGTGGGGCACTCTTGTGGGACATTCTTCTAATACACTCTTGTGGGCCACTTTTTAGGAAACTCTTGTGGGAGACTCTTACGGGACACTCTTGTGGGACACTCTTGTGGGTCACTCTTGTAGGAAACTCTTGTGGGACACTCTTACGGCTCTTATGGGACACTCTTGTGGGACTCTTTTGTCACTCTACAAACTGCCCCCCTTCTGAGTCCAGCTCCAAAAGTGAAGCGCCAAGTCTCCAAAACGAGCGTTTCGTACGAGACTTCCTCAAAGTCTCCAAAACGAGCGCTTCGTACGAGACGTCCTCAAAGTCTCCAAAACGAGCATTTCGTGCGAGACTTCCTCCAAAAGTGAAGCGCCAAGTCTCTAAAACGAGCGCTTCGTACGAGACTTCCTGAGATGCCTAAGTCTCCAAAGCCAGCGCTTCGTACGAGACTTCATCCAAAAGTCAGGAGTCAAGCTCTCCAAAACGAGCGCTTTGTACGAGACTTCCTCCAAAAGTCACAAGCGGAAAGACCCATCGGAGCACACACGTCAATCAGCCCTGCCAAGCAGTTTCGCGATCCAGCCCCTCCAAACAACGATGTTTCCTTGCTATTTCACACGAATCTGACACATCACGCTTCTATGCCAAACTGACTCCAACACCTTCCCCCAATGGCAGCGGCCTTGGCATCCTCATGCGGACGGCGCGGTCGGTTGCAAACGGTTTTGCGAACGGTTGAGGACGGTTTCGGACGCTGAGACAACGGGTCGCGAACAAGGCTCTACCCCCAGACCCCCAGAGTCAAACGGGAACCCTTCGCTACGCATTCGGAAAACAGCAATTCTCTATGCCATGCCTCATCAGCCAACAGTGCGGGCACTTGCCGCCAGGTGATTCCAAAAAGGCCTGCCAATGAATGACTTGAGGCTGGAATGAATTGGGTACGTCTGCAACATGCACGACTAACGCAAGACCCATCACGCCGTGCGCACAATGATGATTGCTTGCAGCCCTCAATCCGGATACACACATTCACATCAGTCGTTTCAAGCAAAATTGCAGTGTGATCTTTTGTCCACTGCCTTCAAAGCACGACGACTATCCACACCCTAAAGCCAACTTGCATGTCTTTGCCCTTTCGTCTAAGTGCCGACTGTGGATCAAGTCGAGAACTCTTTATCATGTCGTTTGTCGCCTGATAATTCGCCCAAGCTTTGGCACTGCGGACTTTCTCTCGATCTGCCCATTCTCTCGATCAACCCGCCACTGTGGTGAGAGAGTGCTTGGTGAGCCGAGGTGAATCTGGATGTGACGTGCGGATACGTGTGGAATGAAAGTGAATCGGAAAGTCAATCCTCCGTGTTCTTTCTCCTGAAACCAACAAATCAACGACCCACTCCGGCATGCTAGGCATTTGTAGACCTTTCAGCAGGATGTTGCAAGTGCCAGAATTGCAACGGGACCAGGTGAATGTGTACTCATCCTTGGTGAGTTTTGGACATCGGGACACAGCTGAAATCAACATGGTGGAATAAGGGGATGCAATGGATTTCCTTCAGCCACACAAAGGTTACCAGCGCAAATTGCACCAATTTCACGGAGGGGTAAACCAACGATCATCATACAGCCCTCCAAGGATCAAGCTTGTTTGAGACGCACGGGCAAAAGCAAAGGCCTTGAGGCACAGCCGAGCACAGTTCCTGTGAAGCCTCACAGTGATGGAAACAAGTACATTAAAGATAAGGATGAATGAATCACTGCTGCAACAAAAACATGTATTGAAACCTGTGCTGTACATCCCTTTCATGTGGTTTGTGTCCTGAGCTCCAGTCTATTTCATGCTTTCGACATGCTTTGCCATCTTGGTGTTTCAGGGAACATCCAGGAACCAAATCGTTAGTGTGAGCGCTTCTTCAAGGAAGCTCTCCCCCGTCAGGGAGGAGCTTGCTTGAAGCGTGAGCTATCCTGCATCCTAGCTAAGCTAGTAGCTTACCTATTTGTTTAATTAAATAGGCGCCTACTTAATTAAGTGGGGAGGCGGGGCCTCGGGCTAAAAAAGGAGCTTAATGAAGTAGTCCACCTCACAGGTGATCTCAGACCTATACGGGTGAAGGGCATACAGCATACCTCCCGCGTACGCGGCCGAACCACGGCCATTCTTAAGAACCGTCATGTAAGACTCTCTAGACTCTAGCATCAAAAAATAAGCATGGGCCCTGCCTCTAGGGGGAGGCTTTGCTCAGCTTGATTGGCCTACGGTCGGGGCTTGTGTTACGCAGTTTTCTTAAACAAGAAACCAGACTCTCCTTGGAGGGAAAGTAAATTACTCAGAGTCTCGCGACCCAGAAAAGATCTGATGGAACCCCAAAAAGACTACTCATCTAGACTCTTTCAGACTCTCTGACTCTGACTCTGGTTTCCCACCCAAGTTTCTTATCCAAACCGTCCGATTAAGAAAATGTCCAGAGTCCAGAGCTGTACATGTCCGCAGCAATTTGGTGGAATGCAAAGAACATCACGGCACCAATCTGACGAAAAATAAAAAGTAGCGTCCTTTGCTCCTAGTAGTAAGGCCAGGAGCCCCTAAAGTAGCGTCCTTGCTCCTAGTAGCGATGCCAGGAGCCCCTAGTAGCGTCCTTGCTCCTAGTTATTCCAGACTTACCAGACTTGGTGATTGCACCTTCGCACCCTCACCGATTGACCACAGAACGAGAACGACAAGAACCGCACACGAGTCATTGTCACCTCACCTCCATGTTCGTTGCACAGCAAGCCGCCACATGAGACACCAAACTCCGTTTTAGGAACGAAACCCTCATACTTTCAAACACCGGGTTCCCATGGGTTCCCTGTAATGGACGGAACATCTTTGTGACACTTCGCACGTATCTCCGTCGAAACGGTATGTGCATTCGGTCACAAAACGGAGAAACAAACTGTCTGAGTTCCCAGAGGTCTCAGGCTCGCCCCGCCTTACTTGAGCCAAAAGGAAACTTCACTCGTCATGTTTTTCGGAGTGTGAGCCTTCATTTTGTTGTGGCTTTGACGTGCGCTTTGACCCTACCTGCTTGCTACTTAGGCGCATCTGGTCTGATTCAGTTCTCATCCTTCTATACATCGAAGCAACTCTGGATGGTGTCCGTTTTGTGATTTAATGCAACACACACACAGAGATCGCACAACACCGTTTGTTCAAATCCCAGGTTCTAGCATACCTGAAAGGAAACTTCAAACATACGGGCGCACTGGCACATGCTACTACAGTATCTCTGTAGACTATACCAGGAAACTCGGTTTGACCAGTTTGACAACATGTTTAGATTCAAGTTTTTGAACTTGCGCCTTGGTGATTGGATACAGCTGGGCTGAAATCTTGATACCAACGAGCGAAGCTGCTACAAGGTCCTCTTTCTTCGCGGCTTTTGGACCCTCAGCGGTGTGTGAGTCTCACAAAGAGTCCTCCAAGTAGTGCGGAGGCCACCGCGACCACCAGAAGCTTCAATGGATCCTCGGGCTGCTCTGGTGAGCGGTGACTGTGTAAGCTCTTTGGCTGCTTTCTTCCTTTGTTTCGGCTTTTGAGAGCACGCGTTTGTTTGCTCGGCGGAATGCGTGCCTCTTGGAGAATGCAATGAAGAGGTGGAGTTGAAGATTTGATGTCACATTATATAACGGTCTATATATGGAGGCCATCGCTCTTAGGCTGGAGGCCAATCCTATTTGAATTTATAGTTGACCTTTAGATCCTTTAACGTGATTTGAAGAATGGTGGCAATGCACAGCCACGGCATTGAAGCCATCTATATACAGCCAGGTATTGATTCGCACGATACTTGGAAATTGGGAATCTGCTGCAAAATGTCTTTTGGGGATACAGCAACATGATAAAACATTGAAAGCCTTTTGCCTCATCAGGGCATTCGGACATATTTGTCTTTGTAGTTGGTATAATATAGTAAGCAGTCTGTAAAATGTTTACTTAGCAAGCCTACTACTACAAAACCTTCATGGTCTCTTGGGCTCAACTTAGAACACCATCAAAAAAACCATACACACACAATTTCGCACAAACTATGAATTAGGGGGTTCCAACCACCCCACTGACCAACTGCTTTTATAGAACCTAAACATGGCCATGCTTACTATAACCAGGGTCAACCCCCAACCATCAAAACCTCCAAACCAGTTTTGGTTCGCTATCTTTGACGGTTTTGGGTGCCCGCGGCAAGGACGAGCTGATGGACTTTGCAGCAGTTCAGTAGATGTTGTCGCGCGTAAAACACTCTGTTGCACATTTTGCCAGAATAAGGAGCCCTCCAGCCATTCCAGAAATCACTTGGCACCGAGTTACATCCTTTGTCATCTTTGCCACTGGACTACCAGGAGGGCTGGCAACCTGGAGCGTGCTGAAGGCACCACTAAAGATCGGCAAAATAAGTGTCACAAGGTTGGAGGCCATGTCTACTAGGTTGGAGGCCATCGCTACTAGGTTTATAAGGGCCTTTTTGCTATTAGGTTGGAAGCCATTTCTATTGACTTTGGGTTGCTGAAAGGCTCTTCACGCGTTCTGCATTCATAGCCTCTTTGTGTGACTGCTTCGTTTTCGCACTCGCCCCACCCATCTCGCAGTCGCCGTGCCCTTTCGCACAGCACCGCGGCACCTGCCCTGTCAAAGCAGGCGGAGCACCATCTTCATCATCCTCATCGGCCATCAATTGGCGCCACCAGTCCTGAATCTGACAGTGAGATTGATCTCTTTAGCTTAGAGATTTCATGGATGATTGCCCGATGACCTTCCCTTGATTTTAGTTGCAAAGGCGTCCAAATTAGAGTAGTCTGGGTTTAACTGGACCTTGATTAAACTTGGAGTGGATAGAGGTTATGAAAGACTTCCTATACAGCAATTGCACGCACATGCTTTGTTCTGGGGCGGTCCCAGTTTCTTTGTGGGTCAGGCCTTCAGCATGCCTTATGAAAGGCTGCATGACTCTTCTGGTGGTGGACAGTGATTCTGTCTCAAGCCAAACTGAGGACTTCTTTCACCTTTGGTTGGACGGATCCATCTTGTCACTCCCAAGACCAACTTCACCAAACCCTCTAACGTGATGCAACATGACAGTTAAGCTTGCTGCGCTTGCCGTTTCCAACTGTAAACAAAGTCAAATGAGCGACCCCCACATGGAACACATTGACATAGCGGATATGATGAACGCATTCATTCCGAGTGCTTTCTACATGATCCTTCGGGACATGCTTTGATACACGGTGGGGATCTGGCTTCACTGTCAGGCCAAAACAAGTGGCTTTGAAGCATGATGATAAGGAGGAGGAGGATGAGGAGGAGGAGGATGAGGAGAAGGAGGAGGAGGAGGAGGAGGATGTTGTGGATGTTGTGACCCCGATACAACGTTTGTCGACAAGGAGTCCATGGTCTTCTCTGTCTGCGCAATGGACATCAGCGGCTTCATGCAGGAACTCAAGCTCCAGAAAAGATCCGGATGCTCAAACTCCTCCGGATCAGTAGAAAGCAAAGGGCAAAACCCTCGACTCATCAATTTCCGTTGGAGCTTTGGTTAGAAGTGTGTTCCTCAACCGGAGTACGCGCGGTTTTTCAACTCTTGGGTACCTCCTAATCCCCGATGTATCGAGGAGTCCAATCCCCAGTTTCAAATCAAAACAACTAGACTCATTGGGCTCTGCACCGTTTCGCGCCTGCTGGGAGAGCATGAGCTTAATGCCTGGGCTTCGTTTCGTGGATCCACTGAGGTGCGATGCACAATGCGGAATATTCAACTCTCAATGACGCGTTGAAGGTGCTCTCTGAAAGTCTGCCTTTTAGGTCCTTCCAGGTCTCAACCGGTGTACCATGAACCTGTACCACTGGCGTTGAACGGGGCTCCTTGGTTTTTGTGCTCCAGGTGGCGATGTCGCTCCTTGGGAGCCGCAAAGCAAGCGGGGCAGTTGTCGGCAATCACCGGCAGCCTGCGAGGGCCCGCATCCCTGAAGAGTCGTGCTTTGCTTTAGTATTCACCGTCTTATCTCAGCTTTAGTCACGCTGTACTGCTCCGCTAAACAAACAACATATGAAACACATTTTACACCAAAAGCAGTGCCCTTAAAGAAAAAGGTATCGTGATCGTCTCCACACCTACGTTGCTTAGTTCCATGTTACCATTTTGAATAGACACCGCTTTGAACAAATTTTTGAACGGTGAAGAGTCGATCTGAATTCGAGAAGAAAACAGACAACAAAAACGTACAGTTTGTACGAGTCGACGTATCTCCGAGCCGAGTCCGTCCTGTTCTCTTTGGCAAAGTTTGCCAAAGTCTTCTCCCGGACGTTCACCAAGGGCCGACAAACCCGCAAGTCCTTGGCAGCCACCGCGTAGTTCGCCTCGAAAAAGTGTCTCGCATTCGCCCAAAACCGTAGTAACAAGAAGCTACTAGTAGCAAAGGGCATCGCTACAAGGAGCAAAGGACGCTACTAGTAACAAGTTGCATATGCTATCGCAGTCTCACCTTCATGGTTCGAAGAGCGCCGTTCCGAAAGGCCGACATGAGAAAGGACTCGGCAAAGTCATCCAAGTGCCTCAACCGGATTATTCTGCATGTATTTGCAAAATTCTTACTTCACGTTTCAAAACATGTTTTTCAAATATGCTCCGAGGTATTCCGCTCTCGCTGAGCTCAAATTCTTCAGCCAAAGCACTGTCCCAAACAAAGGACCTCAAAGTGGAATGGGAGATTCTGTGGGTCCGTTGCAATTGCAATCTTACAAAGCATGACAAATCCATTTAGAGAGCCCAAGTATTGACCTGATTTGACACTTCCTGGTTGCATGAATCGGATGTTGATCTTAACAAGCACATTCTCTGTCCGGGCCATGGCAGCCGATTCGTTCAACCCGGATCAACCGACGTCAAAGACCTTGGTTGGTGTTGGTCCATTCTGTGCCCCTACACCCCTAAGACAGGTTGTTGAAGCAGATCTTTCAACATCCAAAGAACTTCTTGATGTCAAGACATCTTTGTCTTGAAACCGCAACAGGACTATTTCAAATCCGACGCATTGTGGACGCGTGAACATGCTCAGCCAGGCATTAGAACATGAACTTTCAGAAGCCAAGCAGCGTTGTACTTGTTCTCTCTCATGCAAGTATACCTTGAATTCTTGAAATTATTCACAGGCTTCCATGGCATGTTGGTGAAGACCGCTTAGAGAACACCTCTGTTCTTTCAGACCTGATGACTCTGTAGCCTCATTCAAAGAAAACGAAAAACAAGGGTATGCAGGTAAAAATACCTGCCAAAAATCAAACCTCACTCCACCTCAACAGCTGGCATCACTTCACCAACTTGCAGCAAATCTTCACGTTGTGCCTTTCAACGATACAGAGCTGGTACTGTCATCCCTATTCTTCATGTACGACTGAGGAAACAGTCGAGACTGGCAATTGTGTGAAATGGGTCCAACACATTTGTTCCAGGTCAAACCCTCTCTGGAAACACTCACAAGAGATGGCACACAAAAGTGAGGAGTGGCCAAGTGGCCTACAGTGCAAGCAAGTTCCGTGTATCAAGATTCTGCTTTGTTCCCTCGCTCGTGATCCATACCACCCACGCATTGGACATCCACCAAGTCCGAGTCCACAAGGGTTGTCTGACTGTGTTGCTTCGGGCGTACACTGCTGATATCCAAGTCACAACATTCCTCGTTTCATCCTCGCGCAGAAGGAACCTCAGGAAAGGTGGAGCAGAAAACATCGTGCCTCTTTGAACGTGACGCATTGCGCTGCTGGTTTCTGGACTAAAACTGCAAACGACCCTGGAGAACGTGTTGAAAGGACTAGCAAGGTCGAGCAGTTATAGCAAATAGGAGTCTGAACACCTCCACTCTCTGAAATCAAGAGTCGAGAGAAAGCCGAGGTGCAAATGGAGGGCTTCTTGGGGTCCAAATGACACTTCGCCATCTCAATGAGAGGCTTCGACAAAAAGTGATAAGTCACTCCCAAGGCCTTCAAGTAGTCCTCAAATGCGGAGCCAAATAAAACCCGTGGCACAACGAAAGTTGGCTGAAGGTATATAGAACCAAACAGAACGAAAACCAAGAAACACACGATCTGTCTATAGAATGAGGCTTTTGTGAAAGAAAAAGGCGTTGCCATCAAATGCTACAGGTCTTACCCGAAAACCAAACAACGGCACGGAGGGTCCAACATTTAAAGTGTTCAGTCATCTCTACAGTTTCTACATGCATTCAATTGTATTATTTGTTTCGACTATTACTACTATTACTATTGTTATTATTACTATTAGTATCCTCAACCCTGGGTGCAATACCATTTTGGCCACTCCAATTGGAGCTCGTAGCTTTGCCTTGGGCTGAGTGATATGCGTCAACAATCCGGGGATACCAGCTCGATACAGGTCCTGCAAGTCGAATCCTTCGAAATAGTTTTCATGTGACAGCCTCGAACCAACCCATCATGATGAATCAATCCTTCGTCGCAGGTGCAAACATATCATTCCGGTCATGTCATTTTGACACCCCACCAAAAAAATGTTCCTGTACACTGTAAATTGGATTCTTGCTGCTCACAAATCAACCTTTAACATGTTGAAGTGATCTAATTATACACTTTAATAATGAGTATAATGTCAATACGGGATTCAAAGAACACCCTTTGCTCATCCCATTACCGAACAAAAATTCTTCTCACTGCTTCCCAACCCTTATCTGAAATATCCTAAAACCTTGAAACCTTTTTGCTTATGCTGGCTGATGCTTTTGGCAGTTGCCATTCACTCTTTTGGATCCCTGCCCATCGACAAACTGGTCTTGCGGAAATCCCGAAAAACAGGTGAATCATACCTTCTTGATTTTTGCAGTTTTACAAAAAACTGCTTACCTTATGTCACGTCATGTCAGCATCTTTACATTGCCATGGCTCGATGAGAGGCTCTGGCGAGAACTCCGGTGTCTCTGGGTTCACCGTGGCGGCTGCCACAGTGAACTTCACCGGTGAACGTCTTTGCAGCTCCAACAACACATGCAGCAAGGTGAGGCTGTCCTGCGCAGCGCGCAAACCATTGCGCCGCAAATACGGTTGGGCCGGTTGGCGCTGGAAACGCCACAAAGAAACACATATATAGACTTGATGTGTGCCCCGCATGGGCATTTCCGATCCTCACATGATGGGTCATCATGCTAGGGGTTTGTATGGTGCAGGGCTACAAACACAAACCATCCATGTTTGTGAGAGCTAGCTAGGCGTGAACGGGAACGGATGCCACAAGGGGAGAAGGGCGGCCAATGTTGGGCTGGGTGATGTAGGGTGGACAAGGGTGATCCGAGGCAGAGAGCGCATCACGGTCCAAGTGAAACTTCGGACAGGATAAAAAATAAAAACATACTTTACTTCGAGTGATCCCCACCATGACAATTCAATCTGACAATTTTTCTGGCATGTAATGAAACATTATCTCGGCATTCTTTCTGGCATATCTGGTCACATTCTTTCTGGCAGATCTTTTGACATATATTCTGACATTTTTCTGGCAAATCTTCTGACATTCTTTCTGTGGCATCCTTTGACATTCCATCTGGCATATCTTCTGCCAATCTTCTGACATTCTTTCTGGCGTTCTATCTGGCATATCTTCCGGAGCTGGCCGTTGAGGTCCGGCGGGGAAAACTGCCACTCGGCCCACTGCCGTCGCGAGCTGGCGGCGCCGGGACTCAGCCAAGTCCCGGCGCGGGGCAGGGATTTAATCGGAGTATGGTACATCTCAGAGTCTCCGACGTTGTTAAGGTGCTGACTGTTCCGTTGATAAACAACAAGATGACAGCGCACAAGTTTTGACTATGGCAACTTTCATCTGCCAAGGCGCGCTTAGATGAGGTTGAGGAAAAAGATGACCCCAGCAAGGAGCAAAACGCAAAGTATGAACCCTAAGCCAAGAACATGCAGAATATGAAATGGCTACTTGTGTAGTTGCAAAGCGGTCGCCGGCGCCCAGTTCATTAGAACTCCATGCTTTGTGTTTGGGCTTGGTGCTGTAAGGTTTGACAACGGAAAAAGCATGCCACAGTGCCATAGTCAAAACCTATACACATCTATACACTATATATAGCTGTGAATTCCGTCTCCTGTTGGCTGAAACGCACAAACGAGAAGTGTACCAAAGCAAGCCACGTACGCCGTGGCTCAAGTCGGGGCAAGGACCCTGCGGCTGGCGGAAAATGTCCGTCAGGTTTGATCCATAGTGGTAGCGGAGCACCAAGCTCCAGGGTGCGTCCGGGTTAGTTTGGGTTAGTTGCCATGGCGGATGGAAGGAACCATCCAATCCCTCGCAGTGATGGAAGTGGAGTTGAGGAAGGGCATCGTGAAGGCCCTGGACGATCTCAAGGAGATGGCATGACGCCAGGAGGCCCTGGCTGGTCTGATGGTTTCGATAGTGATGAGTACCGTGAATTTGTTCGCGACCGGCGACATCGAGCTCGTGACCGTGATCGAGGTGGACCTCGAGAAGATGAAAGTGATTGGCGTGGGGGATCCAACGCCAAAGCACCTG